CCTGTGATGGACTTGCGACCCGTCCAGGGTGTACCCCGCCCCTCGCACAGTGATTGCTGGACATGGGCACCGGCGACCCCCCTGACCCAAAATGGAATAAGCGGGTAAAGATAATGGATGGATGGAACATAGTAAACATTAAATGTTTAAATAAATATTGAGCATGCATCAGGATGTTTAAATAAATAGTTAAAAAATAAGACAATGAAAAATAAGACAATAAGACAATTTAAAAAAAGACAATTTTTGAATTTGATGGTTTATCATTGTCTTGCTGAAATATGCAAGGTCTTCCCTGAAATAGATGCCATTTGGGTGGAAGCATATTTTCTAATATGTAAGTAGACGCTCCTGTTTGTACAGGCCACATGACTAGATACATGGCTAGTACTGTGTTTGAAGGCCCCTTCAGCCTTCAGAACTGCCTGAGTTCTTCATGTCATAGATTCAACAAGGTTTTGGAAACATTCCTCAGTGATTATGGTCCATATCGAGATGATAGCATTATGTTCTTGCTGCAGATTTGACTGCTGCACATCTGTGATGTGAGTCACTCATTCCACCTCATCCCAAAGGTGATTGATTGGCTTGAAATCTAGTGAATCTAGAACCATCAGACCAGCCAATGTTTTGTAATGAGAACTTAATTACTGATTTTTTTAAATTAAAAGCTTTGTGTGAAAAATGCTATGCTAAAGAGCTCAAACCACACAGAGCGTCCACCATTTTGAGAACCGAATAAAGGAAGGAGAGACAGCCCATGTCACGTCAAGAAGCCTCCCTCACATTTTTTTCTTAAAGTAACACGCTGCTCGCTCCCTCAGTATCCATCCTTTGGTTGAAACAGTCTTATACTGCCATCCAGGGGTCAAAAGAGATACTACACACAAAACAAATTAACCAACATTTCTTTGTAAATTTGACAATAATTACTAATAATTGTCAATTTTCAAACAATATTATCGTTTATCGAGATAATTTCTGAGACAATTAATCGCCCAGCAAAATTTGTTATTGTGACCGGTCTACTTCAAACACAAAATGAGTCAAATGGCCAAAAACTCCTGAATGGAGATCATGCAGACATTGTGCCTGAAGGAGTCCGTCTGCTGAAAAGTGTGGTGCTTTCTTCATGATAGATTTGTGGCCAAACAGAGGATGCAGGGACAAAGTGAAGAGTCTGACACGAAGAAGTCCTGCGCTGACGTATGCTCCAGCGTGAGGGGTTTCTCAGGAACTCTGCTCTTGTGTCTCGTGGACTATGAAAGGTGTGTATGAAAACAAACACCCCACAACCACGTGACCATGAGTTGGCTGTTCGGCTTCAGATGGCGTATGCCGGGCCCTTAAAGGCACTGACCTGCTGCCATGTGATTGGCTGATTTTCTTTGTGTTAATTGTTCCTGAGCGAGTGCAGTGATGCCATTAAAATTAATCTTATTTTTTCAGATTTATGAAGCTGCCCATCGTTACTTCTGATTTAAATTCAAGAGTCAACTTGTCTAAACTGCTCTATTTATACAAATTTGTCTTACTGACCTGTTGCAAAATACTCCTACAGTTGTTCTCATTCATATCACTTTTACAACCTTTTGTTGCCCATGTACCAACTTTTTGAGCTGTTGCTGCTATCCAAATTATAATGACCATTTTTGTTTCACATAAAAACGTCAGTTTCTTAGTTTAAACATTTGACAACTGATTATTTTCCATTGCACAAAAGTATGAGTTTATGAAACTTGCAAAATATTGTGTTCCGTTTCTGATTTTACATTTTACACAACATCCCTGCTATTTTCAGAATTGGGGTTGTAAAACAGATAATACAAGTTTTTTTATGAGATAGATAATATAAAGCATACAAATAAAGTCAAAATACCTGTTGATGCAACAGTACTGACAGCACTTGTTCGAGATCCTCTGTATGTCCCATAAAGGTAGGCTACGTAATGAGTGCTGGGCCTGAGCCCTGTGATGTCAAGGAACGTTACATCATGGGATACGTTATATTCCTTTGGCTCTGCCAACCAATCAGAGTCAATAATCTCCAGGATAAAACCATCAAACTCTCTTTGAGTGTTGTTCCAGTGGATTGTAAAGCTGTCAAATGTTATGTTTGAGACATAAACTTTTCCAAGCACAGGTTGAGTCGCTGAAGAAAGAAATCAATGGTTAAATATTATTCTGTAAAAGAATGACCGAACTAATTGTTTAATAAAAGTTTAAATACATGCATGTATTTATGCATAAAAAATACAATTACAAAACTTAGCTGTATAAGTCATATTGCAGCTTGAATTAAAAAAAAAATAAAAAAATAAAAAAATATATATATATGTATAATAATAATAATAATAATAATTATTATTATTATTATTATTATTATTATTATTATTATTATTATTAGACAACAAAAAATGTCAAGGGAAGAAACTCAAAATGCTTTTGTGCAAATTTCTGGATTCTACACCACTTCAATTTCAAATGAATTAGAAATTCTTTTTACTTAGGAAAGTGTGACAAGGTAAAAATATTTCATGCATGTTGAGTGCTATTTCATCATGCATTTCATTAGAAAATAATGAATGAGTTGCAGTTTGACAACTAAAATAAGGTATTGTGTAAAAATAAAAAGTTTTTTTTTTCCCCACCAACAAGATAGACAAGCTTTAACACGCAAACATGTATGCAACACACGGTGGCAATAAGATTAGTTTCACATAATATTACCTTAATAATGGCAAGAAGATTTAATCATTTGCCACCTAATAGTTCAAAAGGAAATTAATATATTCACTTTGATATTCTGTCAAATTAACCAACTGTCATGCTGGCAATTATTCCTAATAATTAATTATATTGTATAACAACAGATACCAAAAAGCCACCATAGCTAACTCACAGTAATTCACAGAATTATAGTAGACATGAATACTCCATGCATGGTGTAATGCTTGTATACACAGGCAAATGATTGCCCAAGGTTAATCGATTACACACTGAATAAAGGCTAATCACATTATATGGGTCACGCTGTCACGATAAAACAGGTCGGGGAAAGTGATAGTTATTGGTTCTGCTTTTGCAACCATTGCAGCACATCAGCGTCAGATCTGACCACAATGCAGGGATGGTAGAGGGGGAGGGGCTTCATGCACTTTGATAACTGGGACGGGGTGAGCAGCTGGGAGTAAGGGTGAATGCTTGGTTCATTGATGCAGCGCTGGCGCCCATCACCCTACCCTCTTTCAGAAATAGTGGCTGGAGGTTGGAAGTAGGCAAAATATTGGTTAGGATGTAGAAATTTAATGCACTCAGGTTCTGCTGTTGAACAGTAAGCAAGAAATAGAAACTTGGTTATTATCTTGATTTTGTTTCATGCAACCAGGTGTGCACGCTGCATGTTGAGTCAAATAGAAAGCATACATTTTCAATGGGAAAGAGAAAGAAGTTGAACTGCAACGCAATAGGTTGCAAATACCTGTGGTGGCTTCAATGTACAGGGGCTCAAGGAAGGAGCTCTGATGCATCCCATACAGACCAACCATGTAGCTGGTGTTGGGATTCAAGCCAGAGATGCCTAGGCTCAAAGCGTTTCCAGATAAAGTGAGGTTCTGACTCTCTGCGAAATTCTCCATGTTTGTTACCTCAATGATAAAACTGTCAAAGTCCCCCCCTGTGGGACTCCAGGATGCAGTGAACCCATTCCAAGCAATGTCAGAGATGGTGAGGTTATGTATCGCTGGCTTCTGCTCCACTGGTAGACAGACACATCAAATTTGGGTCAGCTGAACAGCTAAATGGATTATTCAGTACTTTTCAAATCACATTTTTCAGAACAAAAAGCAGCTGAGTATTGGAAGTTTTTGAGGTAGACAACAAATTACACTCACTGAAAACAATTAAAGTACTCAGAAGCAATGGTTCTGACATGAATGGGATATGGAGACCAGTGATGACCAGTGAGTGATGAGAGATGTTTTCTTTTTAAGTCAGCACCAGGGTGGTGGCTTCATGAGAGAAGATTGTGACAATAAGTTAAATATATTCATTGCTCATAAAGACAACATGAATTACATCTTGTCATTATGGCTTGTGAATGCATTACATTCACAAGACATTTCAACATGTGCAGGTTTATTTTATTTTATTCATACCACTTCATCTATGACATGATCTATCCCGTTGTCTGTGTTCTTTGTATTTACGTCTTTATTTTCCTTTTCTATTTCTTGTATTTTGTTATTCCGATCCTTATGTTTTACTCTGTGTTTCCTGTCATTTCCCCACTCACTCCTCAGCCTGCGTCTCTACTCAGTAACCATTTACACCTGTCTCCAATCAGCTACCTTCCCAGGTGCACTCATTACCCACTCTTCCTGTGCCTTATTTAAACCTCTCCTCATCACTACCAAAACATCCGCTCATTGCTCTGTATACCACAGGTCCTTCTCTGCCCTGTCTGTTTCCGTCCGTCCAATTATCTGCCTTGTTCAGTTAATTCTGATGTCCCGTTCCATCCTGTTCCTGCTTGCCTGTCGACCTGTTTAGATCTGTTTGCTCGCTGTAAGCTTGAGTAAGTTTTTTGCTGCTTCGTCAGCCATTTGGTTTTGTTGTTTAAATAAATTTTTTTTATTGAAACTCCTGAGCCGGAAAAGGTTAGGGTGCCCTTTCCAGTATGGGGATGAGGTCCTGCCCCAAGTGGAGGAGTTCAAGTTTCTCGGGGTCTTGTTCACGAATGAGGGAAAAATGGAGCGAGAGATCGATAGGCAGATAGGTGCGGCATGTGCAGTGAAGTGGGTGCTGTACCAGTCAGTCGTGGTGAAGAGAGAGGTGAGTCAAAAGGCAAAGCTCTCAATTTACCAGTCAATCTACGTTCCTACCTTCATCTATGGTCATGAGCTTTGGGTTGTGATCGAAAGAACGAGATCTCGGATACAGGCGGCTGAAATGAGTTTTCTCCGCAGGGTGTATCGGCTCTCCCTCAGAGATAGGGTGAGAAGCTCGGTCATCCGGGAGGGACTCAGAGTAGAGCCGCTGCTTCTTCACATCGAGAGGAGTCAGTTGAGGTGGCTCGGGCATCTGGTTAGAATGCCTCCTGGATGCCTATCTGGTGAGGTGTTCCGGACACGTCACACCAGGAGGAGACCCAAAGGAAGAATCAGGACATGCTGGAGGGACTATGTTTCTCGGCTGGAATGGGAACACCTCGGGATTCACCCAGAGGAGCTGGGGAAGTCTGGGCCTTCCCTACTTACGCTGCTACCCCCGTGACCCAACCCCAGATAAGTGGAAGAAAATGGATGGATGGATGGATGAAACTCCTGCTCTCCTTGCCTGCTTGTGAATGGGTAACAAAGCTGAGGAATGTGACAGAATGAGCGAAACAGACCCATACCCAGCAGGTTGTATGTTCCTCACTGAGAACGAGCCTGAACGTGATCAATTCCACTGGGTAACAAGAAATTAACCTATGGTCACCTCCAATGAACTATGGGAAAGGATGGTGGCCATTGAGGACTTTGTGAACATGTTTACCCAGTTAGAGGTAGAGGGCAGATGAACAGGGGATGTATGAACTTTTTGCTAAAGCCTGGATTGATAGACGTGGTCTTTGCTACAATTGTGGTCTCCCTGGACTCATTCTTATCAGTGACCTCTTTGGTCTTGGTGACAGCTGCTGTCTCCCAGGTCTCCACGCCAGCTGCAGAGCTCATGGTTCCTCGGTCCTCCTTACCCATGCTGGGCGATCGGCGTCTCTCAGGGTGTCCATAGGCACTGTCTGCCCACCTGATCAGCTACCACATGCTGGTCGGCCTCCCAGTTGCCCACCTGAACTGTCCTGTGAGGGGCAGTCTCCCGGCCGTCCATCTGAGTGTGGTCCTGTGACAGACGGTCTTCAAGTCATCCACCTGAACTGTGGTGCCATGATGGGCAGACTCCTGGCCTTACACCTAAACTGTGATCCTGTGATGGACGGTCTTCCAGTCGTCCACCTGAACTGTGGTGCCATGATGGGCAGACTCCCAGCCTTATACCTGAACTGTGGTCCTGTGATGGATGGTCTTCTGGCCATACTCCTGAACTGTGATCCAGGATGGGCAGTCTCCTGGTCATCTCCCTAAAATATGGTCCCGTGATGGGCGGGCTTCTGGCCGTCCCCCTGAACTATGGTCCTGTGCTGGACAGTCTCCTGCCCGCCTTGAACTCTACCTTGGCTATGGATGGTCATCTGACCGTCTGGACATTTTTTGTGTTCATTTTGTGTGTGCAGCCCAGGTTCCATCCTGTCGATTTTTTTTTTTTTTTTCCTTGTGTTTTCCCATGTGCCCTCCATCCTCACAGTTCCCCCCTCCTCCCACCCAAGTTTTGGGTTTTTGGAGACATGGGGACATCCTTGGAGGGGAGGTACTGTGAGGACGGCGCCCTCTTGTGTTATGTTTCTGTCCTGTCCTCCCTCGTGTGATCTGTTTATTCCCCTAATGTAATAAACCTCTGTCGTCCACCTCGTTGTCTTCCCCAGATGTTGGTCCTTGAATATAATTAACGTGTGTGTATAAGTCTGTATGTGAGATCTCTTCATTGTCTGGGCATTGTTTAGTGATGTCTTGTCTGGCTCCTTGTATTCGCTCCATGTTCTCTGGATGTAAATTTTGCTGCCACTGCAGCTCTTTTGTTTTTGTTAATAAAAAGTTTTAGTTATTTATCCTCTGAGTCCTCGAGTCCTGCCTGCATTTGGGTTCAGCCACCGCACCAGACCCTAACAGTTACGGCAGGATCCGGCTCAAATTAAACACTGGGTGGGTGTTTTGAGATTTGTGTTGCCAACTTTCCAACTTTGTCACTATATTTAGTGAGTTTCATACCCCTTTAGTGACTTACTGTCAAGAAAGCAGTTAGCAACAAATCTTGTTATTTTTCACAATGTGTTTGGAGACTTTTAGAGCCTGCACATGAAGGCACTAATCATTCTGTCACTGTCAACGAGCAGCGAGTGCTGCTTGCTGTCTGACTCACTGTGGCCTCATGCAACACAACCAGCTGCAGCCAGAGCAGAGGAGTCCCACCGAACGTTCATACTGCACAGGAATCACATGTGCATGCACAGAGATAACAGTTTTTTTTTCTTATCCCTTTTTTTTATCCATTTAGATTGTTAATGTTTTCCAGTTAAAACCTGCTTTACAAAAATTGTTAAAAAAAATTATGGTTATGGCCTAAAATATGCATTTTTTTAACTTTGATTTGTTTTAGGCTCTAAAAAAATAACTTAAGTAAAACTAACTAAATAAATAAAACTAAGTTACTCTTCCAGAGTGTCACTTGTCAGTCCCAAGCCCAGATAAAAAAGGAGGGTTTAATGTAAAGCTTCAATTCCACTGCACTTAATAGTTATTTGTTTTTCTTTTCTTCTTTTTATGATTGCTTTCTAATTAACTTCCACCCGTGGTCCCTAAAAATGAATGTAAAGTTGAAATTTTATGTTCTAACATTAAACAATATGTGACAAAATTGATTGATATAATGTTGGTCAATGCAAAGCATTAAAGTCATGAAACCATTTCGTAAAGTTCATTTGAAATTTGAAGAATGAACACATTAACACACATTAAGTGTTTTTACTTACTTTTTGTCTCTCTAATGTTTACATTTATCCCTTCTATAGGTAGATCTCAATTACATACAGATGTGCAAATTAGGCAATTATGTCATCTAGTGACTTCTAGGACAGCCAATAGCTACTTTTCTTACTGAGGAGATGTCAAAGTTTGAGATTTTTCTGTTAGTTAACGTCACAGACCCAAAACATAGCCAACGAAACATGTTGCTGAAAAGAAATTTTTTTTTATTTTTTAAACTCAAACTTGAAAAATTGTGAAAGTTTGTTACTGCATGTGGAAATTTATGGGTATAAGTTTACTTTATTCTGTGGAAGAACTGTTGCTCACCCACCTGTGGATGCAGACAGGGAGACGGGTCTGCTTCTCCTTTGTCCCCTCTCTGAAGTCAAATTAAAGGTGTAGTTCATTCCAGGAGTCAGACTGGACAAGACATATGTAGTTTCTGTGACTGGGATCTCGACCTCCTTGGCCTGACCATCTCTGGAGGTGTACACCAGTCTGTACCGACCGACTTTAGCCTGAGGTTTTTGCCACGTCAAAGTGAGTGATGTCTCTGTGGACTTAACTTTTTCAAAACCTCTGGGAGGATCCAGATCTGAGAGAAGACAGATGAAGCTGGTGGGATTAGTAAACCAAATATTTGATCACAGTGTAAATAGGTAATAAAAAAATCCCTGTTGTTATCTATAGAATAATATAAATTACTTTCCCTTTCATTGTTTACATTTCATCACTCAGTTTGTAACAATTTGACTTGGTGACACATTGAAGGACAGCTGTTTGGACAGCTGAAAGGCTGCTCACCAGTTGCTGCGTTCGCTGTCGCAGGTAAGCTCTCTCTTTCATTCTTTACAGCTGTCACTCCGATCCCATACTCTGTCCCTGGCTTCAGCCCTGAATTACAAAGAGAAGGTGGAAAAACTAGAGAAATGGCATTTACAGGAAAACATGCAGTAGAAATGCTAACAGTTAAAAGACTGAAAAAATTAGCAACAAAAAAAGTTACAACTGAGCTGTGTAAAACTAGCTGAAAGCTGAAACGAAAAGAACGCTAGGTAAAAACTTGAAAGTAGCCAAATGCTAGCTTTAAGGTAACAGTAGTGAAATGCTGGCAAAACAATAGCTGAAAGTTAAGAGGAGCAAAACACTACCCAAAAGTTGCAATGTTATCTAAAAGGTAAAAGTAGCAAACTTCTGTCTAAAAGCTAAAAGTAGTAAAAAAGCTAGTTGCAAAATGTTGACCAAAATAAATAAATAAAAGTAAATACATGCTACAAGCTGTAAACACCCTCTACAAGTAGCAAATCCCTAGCTAAATGCTGGAATATATTTCAAATAAAGCAATGTTTTGAAGGGTTATATATTTCTATAGTGTCTGTTTTTACAAATAAAGTAAAATTAAAAAGTAAATAAAAAAAACATGTCTCTCTTGAAAATGTGTTCTCGTGACTCAATGAGACTACCTGTACAAATAAAGAGCAAATGAAAAAAATATTTTGAAAATTAGAAAAGTTGCAAAAGCCAAAAGTCTTAGCCAAGACATCCTGAATGATCTGAACATTTTGACTTTTGGATGGTTAAAGTGGAAAAGATATGCAGAAATAATTTATGGAAAAAAAGCCAGAAAAAAAAAAAAAAACAAGACAGCCTCACTGCAGTGTGAACACTGACATTCCCAGAATAACCACATGCTGAAAGTCTGAAAGTCAGGCTTCAGGAACACTCTTTAATCCTTACCCATGATGGTCCCCTGTGTGGTGTATCCCGGCCCTCTAGGGAACACCTCCTCCCCATGAGCGGTGCCAGAGATGGGGCTGTATTTCACTCGATAGTTTTTGGCATCAGCCTGACTGTTGATCCACTCTAAAGTGATGCTATCATCTGTTTGAGCCACAGCCTGCAGGCCCTTGGGGGCATCCAGTGCTAAGATAAATACAGTTAATAAATTACATTAGAAGAGCCATTCTAAGCAAATTAACATACTTGTATAAAATGTGTTTGAGCCTATCAAATAAGAGTCTTGAATACAAAAGCAATTTACTGTCCTATAAAATTTGGATTACAGTATTTAAGATTATAATAACCTAGCTGCTAACATGACTCAACAGTATCCTACTGTCCAGCGGCCTAGTTATTTTGTAAAATACAGTACATGTTGGTAGTGCTTGTTGCTGAAAGGCAAAAGGTTAGGGATAATGTTTTTGCCTGTGGGTGGGTGGGGTTATTTTAATGAAATTTTGAATATTATCAGTGGATATAGATTTACAACTGCCGTAATTACCTCTAGGAGTTAATCTAATACAAGTTGTCTGCCATAGTGGTTTGACCTTAGATAGCTGAACCTTAGTTTTACAGTTACCAAGCTAAAATTAAAATTTTGTATTTTAGTAGCTGGGAATCATCCCCAACTCACACTCAGAAAGCATTTCTCATTTTTCCATAACACTGACATTAACGTCTTGATGCATGCTCAATAATCCAGGTAGATAAATCTAACAACAATCTAACTGAAGAAGTCTTTTGGATAAAAGATGAAACGTTTCAGCAAAGAAGAATCTGTCTGGACCTGACTTAACCTTGGACTGGCATTAACAGTTAATAGTCAACTAGGGTTGCCTTTTCTTTAAAAATCAGCATGATACTCATGATCCACATCCTGCCTAAATGTCCAGTGCAAGAAACAGAAAGCATAAAGAAATGTTTAATATTTCTCAAACACCAACCTGTTGTAAATGTGGTGTTGACAGGGTCACTCGAGGCATCTCCCAGTCTTGAAATGATAGCCACATAGTACTTGGTATCTGGCCTCAGACTATCAATGCTGTACTGTTTGTCAAGTGGGGAAATATCCACCATGGTTTGGTTTGATTGGTCTGAGCTTGGCATGTAAAACATGCTGACTCTGTCAGAGGGGGCCACAGGAAGATACCAGCTGACCAAAACCGAGGAGTCTGTGACATCCTTCACCTCCATCTGCCGGGGGCCATCGATTTCTGGGGTGGGAAATCGGGGAAAACAAAAAATGCTTAAGTAAACATGAATGTAGTTGAATATTCCCCAAAAAAATAATATATATCTAACATATATTTGGTAAAGGATCATGTTGTGGGAATAAAGCAGGAACCTAATCTTCCTGTATTTACGGGGAGGGGGGGTGGGGGGAATGTTCCCTCCACCAGACCTGCAGAATAAATGACTTTTCCAAGCAGAACAGATGGTCTGGTCTGGCATGCCTCATCAGTTACGTAAGGATCTTGGAAGCATTTCGTTACATAGTATTGGGTAATACTGAAATAAAAAGTTTCAGCAAGCACATGGAGCAAGACAGTATAAATGACAACTATGACATGGCTCTGTGTTATAGAGGTAAGTAATCTAAGTCAGAAAGGATTTCCTGTTGTAACTCTTCTCTTTATTATGGAATTTTACCGACACTGAAAATATTCCTCTGGGATCTCCCAGAGAGCACAAGCGTTGTTGCAGACAAGGGATGGAGCAACTCACTCATCAAACTCCTGATTCAAATGAGTGAGTCAGGAGTTTGATTTAATTCACATAGCAATAACAAACCACTACACCCTGTTAGGATTACGCGGGGAACCCAGATGGTATGAGACCCAGAACGAGGCAGACACAGGGGAAGTACAAAAAGAACAGTGTTTATTATTTACAGTGAAAATCCACACGCTGCTTCTCAGCAACTCCTGGAAAGAGGGATGACAGGTTAATGTTGGTCCAGAGGGGAAGACCTGAGTGGTTTGTTTGAAGAGCGTTCTTGTCCTTACAGTCCAAACCCAAAGGAGGGGAGCTGGTCCTTCAGTCCAAGGAGTGAGCAGCAGAGGGAAATCCAACGAGGGTCCAAGGGAACGCGGAAGGCTGGCAACTGGAGGCAAAAATGGCACGAGGAATACCTGACAGGCCGAGGGATCCAGATCAGGTCACGAGGAGATCCAAAAAACACGAGGAACCAGGAAACTGGAAAAGAGAACACAGGTGAACAAATTCTTTTCACCTAGACATATCTAGCTCAACAGTACTGTACCATGAGAGGTGATATGCTCCAGCGATGAGTCACACTGGGCTACAGCCTTTTGTAGATGGAGAGGCTCATCAGGCTGATGACCGCCAGGTGTTGTTAATCAGCAGCCATCAGCAAGGCAGGCTGCAGGCAGTGGGACCCTTACAGTACCCCCCCTCAAGAATCGCCTCCAGGCGACCTGAGGCGCTTCTCGGGGTGGTCTCTGAAGAACCTGGAGATGAGGCTTGGGTCGAGGATAAAGGACCTGGGGATCCATGACCTCTCCTCAGGACCGTACCCCTCCCAATCGACCAGGTACTGGAAACCCCTACCCCTGCGTCGCACGTCCAGGATGGATCTGACGGTGAACGCAGGGTGGTTGTCGATCAGGCGGGGCGGCGAGGGGAGGTCAGAAGGGGGGCACAAGGGACTGAGGGAGACGGGCTTGACCTGGGAAACATGGAAGGTCGGGTGAATCCTCATGGCCCTGGGGAGTTGGAGACGGTCCGCAGAGGGGTTAATGATGCGGGTAATGGGGAAGGGCCCAATGAAGCGGGGGGCCAGCTTGCGGGGGGTGTCCCGCAGTTTGATGTCCCTGGTGGACAACCAAACCTGCTGGCTGACCTGGTAGGTGGGTGTTGCTGAACGGTGGCGGTCTGTGAACCGTTTAGCCTGGGCCGCGGTCCTAAGGAGGGCCGCCTTGGCCTGGCGCCAGACGCAACGACAACGCCGGAAGTGATGCTGCACGGATGGGTCCGAGCAGTCGAGCTCTAGACTGGGAAAGAGAGGGGGAAGGTAGCCAAGGGAGGCTTCGAAGGGGGACATACCGGTGGCAGAGGAATGGTGGGAATTGTGGGCATATTCCACCCAAACCAAATGTTGGCTCCAGGACGAAGGATTGGACTCGACCAGGCAATGCAGGGTGGACTGCAACTCCTGATTGCAGCGCTCAGCTTGCCCATTAGCCTGAGGATGGTAGTCGGAGGTAAGGCTAACGGACGCCCCGAGCGACTTGCAGAAGGAGTGCCAGACCTGGGAGATAAACTGCGGGCCTCGGTCAGAGACGATGTCCGAAGGGATCCCATGGAGCCTGAAAACATGAAGGGTAAGAAGGTGAGCGGTCTCGAGGGCAGAAGGGAGCTTAGGAAGGGAACAAAGTGAGCAGCCTTAGAGAAACGGTCAACAACAGTGAGGATAGTGGTGTTGCCGTCAGATGGGGGAAGGCCAGTCACGAAATCGAGGGCGATGTGGGACCAGGGGCAACTAGTGGTCGGGAGGGGAAGCAGAGGGCCAGCCGGAGGTTGTGTACCAGACTTGTTCCTGGCACAGACGGGACAGGCCGAAACAAAGTCCTTAATGTCTTTGGACATGGAGGGCCACCAGAAGTGAGTTTTAGTGAGAGCGAGCATGCGGTTGACTCCAGGGTGGCAAGAGAGTTTGTTCGAGTGGAGCCACTGGAGCACGTCGGACCGCACGCTGGAAGGAACAAAGAGGGGACCGGGGGGACCACCACCAGGATCGGGTTTGGAGAGAAGGGCCTCCTGAACGGTAGCGGTGATGGGCCAGGAGAGGGAGCCGACAATACAGGTGAGGGGAACAATGTTATCGGAGCTCTCAGGTGAGTCAGGAGGGGCAAACTGCCTGGACAGGGCATCAGGTTTGACGTTTTTAGAGCCCGGATGGAAAGTAAGGACAAAATTAAATCTATTTAAAAAAAGTGACCAACGGGCCTGACGGGGGGTCAGACGCTTGACGTTCCTAAGGTAAGTCAAATTTTTGTGGTCGGTCCAAATCAAAAAAGGGATCTCAGTGCCTTCCAACCAGTGCCGCCATTCCTCCAACGCGAGCTTGACCGCCAACAGCTTGCGGTTGCCCACGTCATAGTTGCGCTCTGCTTGAGAGAGACGTCGAGAAAAGAAGGCGCAGGGATGAACTTTATTGTCTGAGGGTGCTTGCTGAGAAAGGACCGCCCCTACCCCAGTGTCGGAGGCGTCCACCTCCAAAATGAACTGGTGCGTAGGGTCTGGATGGCAGAGGATGGGTGTGGAGGAAAAGAGGGACTTGAGCTTCTTGAAGGCGGCCTCAGCCTCTGGGGTCCAGTGAAAGGCTCGGGCAGTGGAAGTGAGCTGAGACAGGGGGGCGGCGACACAACTATAATCTTTAATAAACTGCCTGTAAAAATTTGCGAAGCCCAGGAAACGTTGTAACTGTTTCCTGGACTCCGGGGTCGGCCAGTCGACTACCACCCTGGTCTTCTCGGGGTCGGTTCGACAACGTCCGCCCTTAAAAATAAAACCTAGGAAGGAGACGGTGGAGGTATTAAACTCACATTTCTCCGCCTTAACGAACAACTGATTCTCTAGCAGCCGCTGAAGAACCGTGCAGACGTGAGCCGTGTGCTGAGATGGGTCGCGAGAAAAAATAAGAATATCGTCGAGGTAGATGAAAACAAAATTACCAATAAAGTCGCGCAGGACATTGTTGACGAGCTCCTGAAAAACCGCGGGGGCATTGGTCAACCCAAAGGGCATAACTAAATATTCAAAATGACCCAAAGGAGTAGGAAAAGCTGTTTTCCACTCGTCGCCCTCCTTAATACGCACGAGGTGGTAAGCGTTTCTTAAGTCGAGTTTAGTGAAGCAAGAAGCCGACTGTAATTGTTCCTGCAGCGAGCCAATGAGGGGGAGCGGATACTTGTTTTTTATAGTTATGTTGTTTAATCCGCGGTAATCAATACATGGCCTGAGAGTTTTATCTTTCTTAGAAACGAAAAAGAAACCGGCTCCCAAAGGGGAGGTCGATCTCCTCTAGAGGAGGCGTGTCCCAAGGGAACTCGTTAATGGCGGAGCGAAGACAGTTACTGAGACACTTGTCGCTCCATTTGTCAACACAGTCGCGCTCCCAATTAATAACAGGATTATCCTGATGCATGCTCAACAGGATTATGATTTCGAAGCCAGGGAAAACCTAAAATTATCTGGGGCGTATGAGAGTTAAACACAAAGAAATCAGTCATCTCATGATGATTACCTGAGATGATGACATGCAAATCGGTGGTTTTCTGATTAATGCGGGCCAATGCGTCTCCGGTTAAGCCGGCGACAGAAATGGGGGGAATCTCACGAGTAGGCAAGGAATGTTCTCTAACTAAATCAGCACTAATCAGGTTTTGTTCAGCACCCGAGTCGATGAGGGCTGAAAATGAAAAGCGATGGTCGGGAGTCTGAATGACCATGGGAAGCAAAAGTTTAAACGGGGAGGTTAACGCAGAAGTTCCCACCAGTAACTCCCGCTTTACTGGTGGAAGTTCTCGTCTTCCACGAAACGGACAGTGGGGCAGAAAATGACCGGGGTTACCACAATAAATGCAGAGACGGGCGGATACACGCCGCTGTCTCTCTGCAGGAGTCAGCCGTGCGCGCCCCACCTGCATAGGCTCGGGTGAGTGATCTCGTGGAGAAAAAGAAGATGATTGGTTGAGACCAGGAAGCATGGGGGACTGGGAGTTGTAGTTCAAGGGAGACTGCTTGGGTGAAACGGACTCGTGGCGAGGGGTCGTGAACCCGGAAGTGGGAAGATTCTGGGAAGCGTAGTACAAAGGTGCAGACTTGGACTCACCTGGAGAAGTCGGAAACCCGGAAGCCGGGGATCGATGGGAATTGTAGTTTGCCTCTCTCCTCCTTTCCCGGAAACGGTCATCGATGGAGATGGCAAGGTCTAGTAACTTGGCGAAAGTCTCGGGCTTGTCTCGCGTGGCCATCTGGTCTTTGAGAAAATCAGATAAGGAGTTTAAGAAAATACTTTGGAGGGCAGGCTCGTCCCATCCTGTTTGGGCAGCAAGGATCCGAAACTCCAGGGTGAACTCCGAAGCGTTACGACGGCCCTATTGTAAATTCAACAAACGTTTGGCGGTGTTCGACGTCTGCAGGGGGCGATCAAAAATCCTATGAAACTCATGCAGAAATAGTTCATAGG